TGTAATTAACAAATAGCAGAAATAGAGCAATAATTCTTAATCCTAGAATAATTTTCTTTTTATATATATACTAGAGGCCCAAAAATTTGTGGCCCGGCCTTCGCCCATTTGCAGTCCAGGACCCCTTGGGGGATGTCCACCTGTTGACTTAGGCCCACTCCCCGGGGGATCAGGCTTAAGCTTGCAGTCAGACATCCTTCTGGTAGCCAGGGAGCCCTCGGGGGATGTCCGACTAAAGGCTTAGGCCCCCAAGGGATCGGGCCTAAACTGTTAGTTAGACATTCTTAGTGCTGCCATGGAGGTGGGAGAGGCTCCTGCCACCACCTCCGCACTGGCCAGCCATGAGCCAGCTTCTGGCTGAGTGGCACTACTCCTTGGTCTGACCTAAACCCTAGAGATTAGTACTTCATTTTACAACTTTTTCTCGGTTTATAGGCAGCAGCAAACTCAGACCACACAGTCGGGTGTGCAAGAAATGTTGCTTTCTTTATTGTTTAGTAACCAAACCTAACTTCAACTTCAGCCCCCATTCTGCCAAGTGAAAAAACAAAAACAAAATATTATTTAACTTAGGTTCCCCACCCCCTTCTCTGGAGTTGTACTTCCATGTCAGACAGTTTATATCTCAGGCAGAGGTGCCAAAGAACCGAGCAGGGTCAAGAACATGTGGACCTCAGTCTTCTGTCTGGACTGGCCCCCACCCAGTGCCCTTGACCCTCACCTGACCCTCACCTCAGAGCTCAAGTCCATGCTGATCCCTGGTATATTCTCCTCATCTGGGCCTTGAGGCCTCTTGAGTCCAATTCGCTCTCTTCATCCCTCCCTGCCACCTTCTCTCTCTCACACAAAGAGCTATTGGGCTTTCTGGGGTGAGGTCCTCTGACACCTCCTCAGCCCCGTTGCATGGACATCATCTTGGTGCCTTGGTCACGGCCACAAAGCTGTGTGGCTGCTCTCAGACCCTCCATCTCCTGCTGCCTTAGGGAGTGACTCAGTGGGAGGGGAGGGTCACAGTCCTTTTTACATGGCCGCCAACAAACACTCAGTGTTCCTTCCCTCTAGTTCTCCTTCTCCTCCTCACCCCAGTCCAGGCATGTCTATGTGCAGGGCAGGGGAGGGTGGGAGGCAGGCGTGTCTCTGACCCAGCACACAGGCTTCCAGATCCACTGCTCCCCCAGGAGGCCTTCCACGCTCTAGACCTCGACACCCAGAACCTGTCCCCTCTCCACTGCAGGTCTTTGCCCACAGTGGTCAAGTCTGTTTAGAGCAGTGGTTCTCAACCTTGGCTACACATTAGAATCACCTGGGAATCTTTTTAAAATCCTGATTTCTGCACCTCATCCTTTGTTACTAATGT